GTCAGGCTCTTTCCCTGCAGCTCCAGGGCTCAGCTCTGGTGCTGGGAACAAGGGCTGCGGGTCAGACTCGCGGGTTCCCTTCCCAGCTCTGCCGCTTCCTGGCTGGGGGTCCTGGGGCAGGCGATTCACTTCTCTGAGCGTCAGTTTTTCATCTGTAAAGTGGGTGGGGTGGATGTTTCTGTTGTAGGGGTTGGAGGTGGTGAACAGAAGGTCCAGCAGTCACCTGCACACAGTAGGCGCTTATTTCAATGACATCACCCCCATTTCTGATGTCATCATGCTCAAGGTCTGGGAAGGCACCTGGGGGTTGTGACTGGCGTCTTGGTGGCCTTCGTCCTGTTGTTCTTCCTCCTCCTGCTCCTCTTCCTTGTCCTCCGACATCGACGTCAGGGCAAACGTTGGACATTGGGTGAGTAGGGAAGGGGGCACCTCATGGGCCGACCGAGGGTGGGCTCAGGGCACCAGCCAAAGGGAATCCAAACCACTGGCCAAATGCAGCTCTGAGGAACTGTTCCAGCATTTCTCACCAGGCAAATGGAAAAAGCACTTAATGTCAGTCCCGTCTACAAATGTAAAGTGTCCTTCAGGCTCTGTCCATCTCATGGGGCATTTGGAACATGGAGGCAGGAGTGTTTTCAGGTTTCCTTCCTTACCTTCGAGCTGTGTGTGGGGGGCAGGGGCTCCAATGTTCCCAGGGCTGAGCCTCTGTCCTTCTTCCCCCAGCCCAGAGAAAGGCTGATTTCCAACATCCTGCAGGGGCTGTGGAGCCTAAGCCCAGAGACAGAGGCCTTCAGAGGAGGTAATTCTGCCCGAAGACCCCAGACTCCCACTGGGCCCGTACATTGCCCCTAAAGCTCCCGTTCCTCCCCCAGGTCCAGCCCAGCTGCCCACACCCAGGAAGAAAACCTCTGTGAGTGACAGGAAGAGGCGACCAGCCAGGAGGAGATGGGGGAGGCAACCAGCCAGGAGGAGATGGGGGAGGCGACCAGCCAGGAGGAGATGGGGGAGGCGACCAGCCAGGAGGAGTTGGCGGAGGCGACCAGCCAGGAGGAGATAGGGACCCCAAAGTTTCCGTAGCAATGGGGAAAGGTGCACAGGCTGGAAAGGGTCTGGGGCTCAGGGTGAGATGATCTCACCCCATCTCGGGAACATCGCAGCCCCTCCCTGCATCGCAGTGGCCCCGTCTGGGAGCTGGGCAGGGGCCCGCAGGACTGAGAGGTCTCAGGGAACCTTCCCAGGAGACAAACCCCTTACTCTGTCCCGGCAGATACTGCCGTGAAGGACACACAGCCTGAGGACGGGGTGGAGCTGGACAGTCAGGTGAGACCCCCCCGCCCCGTCATGGGCACCAAAGACCTCCTGGTGCCAGATCTAATCCTGCAGGACTTCTCTGTCCTCTTCCCCCGGTTCTCAGCATCGTCACGGTGGACCCCTCCTTGTCCAGCACGCTGCCTCCTGCCTGCTGTGACCTCACTCTCTCCTGCTGTCCTGGGACCTCGCAGGCCTCCTCCTGGGTCCCCTTCCCGCTCCTCCTCCTCTGTTTGGCCGTCTGGTGGTTA